CTTTTTTTTTTTTTTTTAATTTTCTACTTTTTTTACTTTACTTCTTTTTATTTTTCACTTATTTTACTTTTCTTTTTTTAATTTTCAGTTATTTTACTTTACTTTTTTTTAATTTCTACTTTCTTTTACTTTTTTTGAAAAATAATTTCAGCTACCTTTACTTTTATTTTTTAATTCCAACTTCTTTTAATTTTTATTTTTTTAAATTTCAGCCAAACTAAGTGATGAATAAAAGATGCTCAATCCAAAAAAAGATACGGTATGTACTTCTTAGGTACTATTACCTTTTAAATTTCTTTTTTAGATGAAAAAGCTGGTGAGAGCCTATTTTAAAGAAGCCTAATGGTTGAACGCGGGCTACATTCCAACATGTGAGGAGTATATCAAAAATGCACTTGTAACCGCTGCCCCTGTGACACTTGGGAACAAATTCCTTGGTTGGTATGAAGGAAGTTATAACAAAAGAGGTTTTCGAATGGATCACAAGTGAGCCTTCAATTGTTCGAGCTTCATCAACAATCTGTAGATTAATGGATGATATTATCGACCATGAAGTAAGTACCATAACTTATCATTTACTAATTTGACTATTAGACCTCGGCACAACCGTAAAAAGGGACAACTTATCAAGTGTACATAATAAATTTTACTTTATTGCAATAAAGTCACTAAATTATTATTATTTCAACGAAAAAATGATTCAACTTTATCTAAATATCACGAAAAATCACAAAACTACTTTTGTAATTAAAAAGTGACAAAAATGATTTCGGTTACAAAAGAAATTGTTTAATTAGTGACCTTTTTGTGATACTTTGGCAAAGTTCATTGATTCTTTTGTTATAAAACATAATTTAGCGACTTAGAAAAAGTTGAGTAATTTGTTTTATTACAAAAATGGTTTTGTAGTTTTTCTTTATAAAATAAAAGTTGAATACCATGCATGAAATTACCCCGGAATATGTACTGGAATTGCTTCATTTTTGGCTTAAAGTGAGCTATATGAAATTTAGACATGACTGAAAAATGCTTGCAAGTATAATTCTGATGAAGATTATAAGGAAATCTATTATTGACGTAGGTTGAACAACAAAGAGGACATGTAGTTTCAATCATTGAATGCTACATGAAAGAATATGGAGCTTCAAAAGAAGAAGCATACCTCGAGTTTCAAAAGGAAGTCAAGAACGCGTGGAAAGACATAAACAAGGCATTACTTCGTCCTACTGAAGAATTACGAAGAAGCATCTGGGCAAGAAATTAATAAGGAGAAGAGTTGTCTCATCACACATCTGGATCTTGACCATAGAATCAATAAAAGGATTAAGAGGTGGACCGGCTACAAACACTCCAAGTTTCCCTTCAGTTACTTGGGATGTCCTATATTCACTGGCAGGAAGAAGATTAGTTTATTTACTGACTTGGCTGCTAAAGTGATCAATAAGGCAGGAGGCTAGAAGAGTAATTTTATTAGTGCTGGGGAAAGGCTCTGATCATCAAGCACATCCTTCTATCTCAAACACTCCATCTGTTTGCAGCTATGGAACCTCCAAACACTACACTTCAACAGATCGAAAAACACTTGTCAAACTTCTTTTGGGGGCAAAATGATGGCAAAAACAAGTACCACTAGTGTACTTGGAGGAAACTTTGCTATCCAACAGAAGAGAAGAGGGAGGATTGGGATTCAAAAGATTGAAGAATATTTGCAAAGCATTCGTTGCCATGGACAACCTTTGGTAAGGGAATTCATAATCAATAATCAGTAGGACGCCAGAAGCTCTTAGGGATCTACTTCCTGCTAATATTATATTGTTCATTTGCATATGGTCCCCTAATGCTAATGAAAATTTTAACTGTTCATCTGCTTGGGAATGCCTCAGGCAAAAGCAAGATAAGGATCCTCTAGCAAAGCAAATCTGGGCAAAAGGAATACCATTCAAAGTCTCTTTCTTCATGTGGAAACTTTTCAGAAAGAAACAACCTCTGGATGACATTATATTGAGGTTTGGCCTTCAAACAATTTCCAGATGCTCATGCTGTAGAGTACCTAAACCTGAAACTGTTGACCATGTGTTGGCTACCAAATTGTAGACACATATGGCTAGACCATTGGGAATATTGCACAATGGGATTTCAGTCCAGGGAGTTTTAAGTTGTTGGTGGAATACTCAACCCAGAAACCAAGTTCATAAACTCGTCCTTCATATAACACCCTGTTACATTCTATGGGAGCTTTGGAAAGCAAGATGTAGTAGGAAATACAGCCAAAAAAACACTACTATGAATAGAATTGCTAATCAAGTTCAGGTTACTATAGCTAAAAGGTTCAGCAAGATGGAAGCCAACTGGGGATGGGAAACTATCTGTCTGGTGGCGGAAAGAATCACTAGCAGCTTGGTTTACAGATGGTAGTTTCATGGGACGATTGAGACTAGCAGGAATAGTGGGGATTGTTAGGAAGAGAAATGGAAACATGATTATGGGCATTTGCCAAAACTGTTCGATTCACCACTAACAATCTTTGTGAACTGCAGGCTGCTACCTATGGAATTAACACACACACATCTTGTATTAGAGATGGACTCCCTAGTGGTGGTCAACATGCCAAAAGGACAAGTCGTACCCCCATGAGATTGAGAAAGGCAGTAGAGGAAGCTCAAAAGAAAATTCGGGAGAGGCAAATTGAAATCAAGCATTGCTATAGGGAAGCCAACGCAATAGATGATGCATTAGCCAAGGAGGCAACCACAATGGATGGTGAAAAATTATAGTTAAGGGAAGACGAATTACTAGAGAATGCTAGAGGTCCTATGAACCTCCTTGATATATCAATCAATTATAGGGAAGGCTCTCTTATGAATAAGAACCCTTCCCTCCCTCATATATCAATCAATAAGTTACTTTTCTCTTATCAGTTATGTGTTTCTTCGGGGTAGTTGTAACTAGGGGTGGCAAATGGACGGGTTACGCCGAATTATTTGGGCGGGTCAAGATGGGTTAGATCAATAAATAGGTTATTGTCCAACCCAGCTTAAAGTGTACTTGGGCTAAGATGAGCTGGGTCAAGATGGGCTAAATAATAGGTCATAGCCCACCCCGTCCAACTTGACCCATGTTTTAGAACCACGCTCATCTTGCATAAACAAAACCTTTTACAAAATATATACTTTCTTAATAAATACTATTAGTATTTTGAGAATCAAAATATATTTTCTTAAATAACAAATTAGTATTTAANATACCTTGATTCTCATTTTTAAACTTATATACAAAAACTAATAAAGTGACAACTAAGTAAATTTCTAAATTAGTTGGGTTGAGATCCCTTTGTTTTGGGGTGAGTTTCATGGGTTGTTTTTAGACTAATTCATGGGTCAGAATGGGCTATAGAAAATATTGGGTTAACTTGGGCTCAGCCAAAATAGACCCATGAGCTTAAAATGTTGTAGCCCAACCTATTAATCTCTGGGTAGATTGGGCGAATTGGACGAGTTTGGGCTCAAATTGACACCCTAGTTGCAACTATGTAATTTGGCCTGTTAGAACATCATGATAGCAGATTAGTTTCTGGATCTTTCGCGTTTTGTAGAGGTTTTGGTTACATGTCCCCCTCCAATATTACAATCTTATTATAATAAACAGGGTAGGCCTATAAACCTGGTTGGTTGGATTCTAGAGACACTCGGAATTTCAAAATGTGAGGAGTATATGAACAATACAGTACTACCAAAGCTCTACCTTTATGACGAGTTGGAAAACAAATCCTTGCTTGGTATATATGGAGGAAAGTATAACAAAAAACGTCTTTTGAATGGATAAAAAATGAGCCTTCAATTGTTCAAGTTTCAGCAACAATCTGCATTCTGCAGACCAGTGGACAATTTTATTAATCATGAAGTAAGTACAGTATAAAGGTTGGCATTTCATATTCTTTCCCTATGGTAACAGTTATGGTCTTCCAAATTTTCATACTTTTCCGTAAACAAAATAGCCAGTTGCCCAGTTTCAATTCCTATTTAGAATGCAGTTAATGATAAATAGGTACAGCCAAAATACATAACTCTATATATGAGCAATTTCGTCACTCATCTATCAATATTTTATATAAATATACCACGTAATTTATTATTGTGTTCACTTACTACACATTGTCGAATAGCTTTACAAGCCGAATTGACGAGTTGTATAAAAGTCACTAGACTCTATGCCGAAACAAGATTAAAATAGACTTTTTATATATAAAAAGAATCCAGCTTTTACCGGTTTGGGTTTGGCTAAACCTCACTGTTTATTAGAAAATAAAGAAGTTTTACATGATGTGAGAAACTCATTATATCTATCGTGGCCCAAATGTGTGTCAGCTAATAACGCATTAATTGTAGGAAAACTATACTAAATGCCCACACAATCCAAAATAATTACCCATAATTACCCATATAAAAGTTTGTTACAAAAACTATCTATTCGGCTAAAATATTTTACTCAGCCTACCTATCCCTTTTTCCCTTTTACGCCATTACCTTTCCCCTTTAAAGTGAAAAGTCCCAGGGCTTTCTCATTTGATAGAGTACGAAATTCAGATGACCCCGTCATTTTTTATGTAATCTCATCACTTTTATGTCAAAATCCCATGCTTGCTCGGATTTGCATTTCATGTTTTTTTGCTTAAATTAAAATTTTACAGATTTTCTTAAAGTCTTCAAATCCACCATTCAAGGACCTTGAAACTTGAAACTCATATAATGAGTTTGTTGAGTTTGTAGTTATTCTGATATGATATCGCTTGAAGTTTGTTTGAAATATTGATTAGGGGTTGTGGTTAAAGCTTGGGACAAGTTGATGGAGATTTTGCAGTGGAGTTGTGAAATTTTGGTTGAAATTAAGTTAAACTTGCGAAGGAGACTAATTTGTAATGTATACCAAAATGGTATACCTATATATCAATTTGGTATCATATAAGACAAAGCTCTTTTTTGAAGTAACGAACTAGTCCTCTATTGTACTATGTCAGTATGTGATATATACCATGTGGATAATATAGAGGATTGAGGAGTAGTTTTAAGAAGAAGTGATTCAGTCCTCTATGATATCCTATCAGTATATAATATATACCAGATTGGTATCTTCAAGACTGAATTTGGATTAAAGTTAAGTTGAACTGGAAAAGAAGAATTTGTATTGTATACCAAAATGATATACTATATACAAATATTGATACAATATACTAACAAAACGATATACTACGGTATCACAATATTTCAGCTAAAACTTGAATAAAAACACATTTACCCAACAGTATACCGCAACGGTATCACAATATACCGTAAGAGTATATAGTTATACTCCAATAATATACTATAATAGTATACATATATACCAAAACATTATACTATAATAATATGCAATTTTTCAGCAAAATTTAAATTAAAACACAGTTACCTAACAATATACCGCTATTGTATCACAATATACTGTAAGAGTGTACTATAATAGAGTATATAATTATACTGCAACAGTATACTATAATAGTATACATATATACTGAAATGTTATGTGGGTAGGTGTCACGACCCAACCGGTCGTTTTGAGCATTTGCACTTCGTTCGGTAGTTTACGGGCGTGAGTACATCCGTATGATGAATTTTGACTTGTGTAAATTGTCGATTTTGGCTTTCAGGTATTTCAGAATCGAATTGGAAGAATGAATTTCATTGTTGAAGCTTTAAATTGGGAGAGTTGACCAAGTTTGACTTTTTAGCATTTGACCTCGGATTGGAATTTTGATGGTTCAGTTAGCTCCATTGGGTGATTTTGGACTTAGGAACGCGTCCTGATTGTGATTTAGAGGTCCGTGGTTGAATTTGTCTCGAAATGACGAAAGTTAAAATTTTGGAATGTTGGAGCAGGTCCGTAATGTCGAATGTGACTTATGTGCAAAATTTGAGGTCAATCGGACGTGATTTGATAGGTTTCGGCATCAGTTGTGGAAGTTGAAGTTTCAAAGTTTATTGAATCCAAATTGAGGTGTGATTCGTCGTTCCGATATTGTTTTGTGTGTTTTGAGGCCTCGAGTAGGTTCGTGTTATGTTGTGGAACTTGTTGGTATGTTTGGACGGGGTCTCGAGGGGCTCAGGCGTGGTTCGGATTGATTTCACATCATTTTTCTTCATTTTGGTACTGCTGTGTTCTGCTGTTTTCTGGTATCTCAGTTCTTCATCGCATTCGCGTGGCAAGTGTCGCGAATGCGTAGTGCATTTGGATGGCAGCAGCAAATTGTTCTTCGCGATCGTGAAGTATGTCTCGCGTTTGCGTAGAGTTGGGGCAAGTCCTCCTCGCGTTCGCGTAGTATTGAGGTTGGCAGCTGGGAATTTGAGCATTCTTCTATGCGATCGCATAAGGTTAGTCGTGTTCGCGAAGCTTTGGTAGTAGTGTTCATCGCGTTCGCATGGGTTGCATCGCGAACGCGTAGAGTCTTTTTGGCAGTGTGCATTTTTTTCATCGTGAACTCGATGGTTTTATCGCGTTCGCGAAAGAAGAGGCCTATGCAGATTATAAAGTACTCTATTTCGAGGGTTTCAGCCATTTTTACATTTTTGGAGCTATGGAGCTCGGATTGACGCGATTCTTGAAGCAATTTTCACCATATGAATTGGGTAAGTGTTCTCTACTCGGTTTTGGTTATATTTTATGAATCTATATTCGATTTTACCTTTTGGTTGATGAATTTTAAAGAGGAAATTGTGGGTTTTGGCCTAAAGTTTCATAATATGAATTTTTGAGTTTTGGAGATCGAATTGGGATCGGATTTGAGTGAAACTAGTATGGTTGGATTCGTAATTGAATGGGTTATTGGATTTTGTAAATTTTTTCGGGTTCCAAAGTGCGGGCCCGGGTTGGGCCTTTGGCCGTTTTGGGCTTTTGTCATGACCCAATTTCCCCTCCTATGACGTCGTGACGGCACCTAGTCTCTACAACTAGGTAAGCCTAATATTTTGCGAAATAATGAAATAAAAATATAAATTTAACAACTAACTATAGCGATAACACCGTAACTAAATACCATGCCGCTTGGCATATACAATAACCAACTCCTCAATATACTACACAACATTTCCAAAACCTGAAACATCATGAATCACAAACTACAGAAGGAAAGATCTAGTGTCTCTATATAGCAGAGTCTAACAAAAGAAAAATACAGAAGATAATGGACATAGGGAAGAGTAGAAGGGGACTCCGAGGTCTGCGGACGCGACAGATATACCTTGAAATCTCCAAAGCTGTCTCGGCTCACTGACAGTGCGGCAGATAAGGAGCACCTGGATCTGCACACGAAAAATATGTGCAGAGAGTAGCATGAGTACACCACAATCGGTACCCAGTAAGTGCCAAACCTAACCTCGGTCGAGTAGTGACGAGGCCAGGTCAGGGCCCTAGTGGTATATATATATAATAAAACAAGATATAATGAAATGCCGCAGTAAAATAAAGACTGAAATTTAACAAGAATAAAATCATAGAAGACAGCAGCTCAGTACACAGAGATAACAACAGGGGATCTCCCAAGATACCGTTTCGTAGTTCCAAACGTAAATGTGTAGTTCAGGGGGATCTCTCGAAATACCGTTCGGTAGTCCCAAAGTAAATATGCAGTACATGGGGATCTCCCGGAATACCGTTCTGTAGTCCCAAAGTAAATATGCAGATCAAACGACAATTACAACAGTAAGATTTCTACGGCTATACTGATAAAGAACAAGGAAAGAAGCAG